ATAATTATATATATATATATATTAAAAAAGTATTTTTCTTTATTAATTTTTTTTACTTTATTCCCAGGTGTATGCTGTAGTTGGGATGAGTGGTGGACATATGATGGCATTTCAGGTAAGCATTACCTTTTCGTCACGTGATAGACTAATTGCTCGCTGCGTGACGTCAATACCGCAAGCCACGCAAAGTCTTCATTGCAATTATAGTGTCGAACAATGAGTAGAGGCAGCAAATGTATTTCCTATTCTGGTCTTGTTCCATACGTCTTTCTGTGATGACTACTAGGGAAATGTCTCAGAAAATGGGATTTCAACGACGTTTTCTTTTCCTATTTTTTATTCTTTCGTGTCAGAAACTTGCCTTTCTTCTCTCTCTTCTTTATTCTCCACTATCAGAAGAATATAAATTTTTTAAAAGCAATTTTTTAATTGTGATTTGTGTGAGGTTGCGGTGGAAAAGAAAGGAAAAAAGTGTAGTCGGTTGTATAAAAAATTCAATTATCTTCAGGGGGTGGCTTCTATGATTTATGAAATGATCAGGGTCTCTCCCGGATAATGATTGTTATCCAGGTAATATATTATCATAAAGGTTGCATCTGATAATTCATAATTATATTCTATTATATAATTTACGTTCTATATGGGTTAATACGTTAGAAAATAATATTTTCTAAGCATTACTATAACTTTAATACATATATAATACATATTAATTTATACAAAAAAAGGTTAAGTTCTGCAAAAAAATTATCTAAATATCTCTACATTAAATTAATATAAAATTTAAATAAAAACAATTAAAAATAAATACTGTCTAGTGAAGAATGTCGCATCTCGCTAACAAATTATTGTAAAACTTTATGAAGTAAGATAATAAAAAAAATTAATAATTGATCCAGAAAGTTTCTTTCTTGTAATAAAATGAATTACAATATCCAAAAATAGTGAAATGAATTTATTTTTTCTTTAGTCTTTTTCAACGTCCACTTGGCCATAATGATATAGAACAAATGCATGCGTAAGGAGAATGTGTAAACACGACAACAGAATTGAATTTAATGTTAGTAAATTGCGTTTTACTCCAAGATAGAGATGCAAGAGAGGAGGAGAGAAAAAAGTGTTGAGATTTCCTCTATTGATATTCTTCTAGTGTCATGGAGAACAAACAAACGTTTATTTTAAAGTTGAAACAGACCAGATACCATCTGTTTCATTATGGTATGTGATTAAGATGCTTATCTAAAATTTAAATTGCTTAATGAGGATTTTCCTACTACCAATTTATTATAAAGGATATAGAAATTTTCTACATTGTAACACAAAATAATTGAATTTATTTTAGTGATTTTGTACTGTACATTCAATATTAAAAAAATTATCTTTGATTTGCAACAAATTAAAGAAAAACACGCTTTCTTTAATTAACTAACATACATAAAGAGTTATTTGATGTTAAAAATAAAATAAATAAATATTTTATTTATTCTCTATTTATTACATAATAAAATTTGAATAATTATAATTGAAAAAAATGAACATTTTGAGGAGATTTTACACTTTATCGATCACAGATTATTGAATGTTTCAACAACTTAACTAATGATTCTTCTACTGATGGTTAATTATCTTCAATGATACGACTTTATTGATATTAGTAACGTAATTATTCGATTTTCATTATTTTTATATATCGTTCTCTTCTCTTAAAAATGGGAATAATATGTTAAATCAATGACAAACTATTAATTTACAACGCTTCGAATGCCACAAATGATGGCTCTATGATTCGACCAAAGTGGGTTTCTGCCTCGTTGAACCACAATCGAAGACAATAAATTGTTTTTTTCTCCTACAACTTATGGCTTTTTTATCACTTTCTTGAATGTTAAAAATCCTTCAATCTGTTTTTTAAAAGGAAATCCTCTTTAAAACAAAAATACTTTATGTAACTTTTACAATCGTGCTTCTCTCTCTCTAAAGGCATCTTGTTTTAGTCGCGTGTAAATTTTAACACGAAACGTAGTTATATCATTAATTAGCATGTAACACCTATTACATAGAACATGACTACCCTAGACAATATTCAAGTTTTAAGTGGCCAAACATTTCGTGTTTATGTTATGTTTACATGGTCAGTTGATTTATAAAATTAATTTATACAAAAATAATTTTCTCCCTTTTTGAAGAATTAAAACAATTTCCATCAATATAAATCCTATTTTATTTTATAAAACTGTAATTATTTTAAAGAAAATTACGCAATTTTATTTGCTCACAAATTAAATAATGAAGAATTTTAATTGTAGAAAATTTGTCTTGTAATTTTATTAAGTAAAATAAATAACAAAGATAGTAGCTGAGACTTATTGCTTGAAGTTTGTAAACGTTTTTAACGTTTAAAAGTATCGATGCGAACTTTATTATATCGAAAGATTGAAGGGAAAGTCGAACAGAAAGCGCTTCATTGACTTCAGACTAGGACACATTTCGTTACTTACTTATGGTGCAGATGGCTTTCTACTGTTCTTGCGACATCTGTAGCTAATGTGAGACAACAGAAGCTGTGTTGTGGAAGTCAATTTTAGTTATTATGTGAATGAAAAGAACTCTCGAGATGACTCGTCATACTGCACAAACAATATCATAAACGTGTTACCTAAATAATTAATCAAATTTATATTTAAACTAGTTTTTATAAGGCTTTGAATATAATGTAATATTATTGTTTTTAAATGTTTATTTAAAAACCTTTAACTGTTTTACTCAAATGATATATTGAAATTTTACAGCTAATACTGTTGGAACTTTATGAAAATTTTATCTTATTTAAGTTATTTTTATATAAAAAGTTACTGTTTATTTTCTAGAAATATTTTAAAGAAATGTTAGAGGTTAGATTATATTTTTTCGGTCTTGTAATTATATACAAAGTTAGAAGAGTTTAAAGTCTAAACGCATTCAAATCGTTGATTGGTTGAAACTGATTTTAAACGAGAACCTTGTTTGAAAATGATTGGTCGAAATTTATGTTAATTATTTTAAAATAGTCAACCAATCAAACAAAAGAATTTAGTGTATTTCTCGATTCCAAAACGCTCTTTTAACTGTTTTTATTAATCTCAAATTGAAATTCGTCTTAGAATCGAGTTCATAATGGATTGTGAAACAATAATCAGAAATAATCTCAAGTGGACCATGTGATGAGTTATAGTCCACACAAAATGCCTTCGAGAAGGTATTATGGTGCAACATTAAAAAGATTAGTAATAGAGTTGCCAAACATTACGCGTTTCATAGCCTTTGTATTGTTTTTCAAGCTTTCTGTTACATAACAAACTTAAAATTGATTATTTAAATTTTTTTTCATCCATAAAAAAGTCTTAAAATTCGATTTCAAACTTATGATGCGTCTTAGGATAAGAAAATACGATATTTTATTATTGATCTCTTATGACTTTATCTATAATTACGACTAAAAAGTTTCATCATTTACATTTTGTGAGCAATTCTTAACAATTCTATCAGCTTTATATCATTTGTGCAGATAATTTTATAATTGTTACTAATTTATATAAGCTTATGTTTTATTTATGAAATAGTAACTTAAATAAAAGAGTATCTATCGATATATTCGAGAATATATCAATAATTCTTAACTTGATTAAAATTTATGTTACATCAAAATTGTTGGAGAAGAAAGCGTACAACATCTATAAAAAATGTAATGAATGTACATTGGTAGAGTAGACAATAATAATAATAATGTCAAGTTTAAAGAAAAGGAATATCACTCTCAGTCAATAAAACTAGAGAACTGAAACATTTTCAGGACTTTTTTTTTTAGATTCAGAAAAGTGTAATGCGTTTCTTTAAATAGTATCTCGGTTATTAAAGATAGAAGAAAAAGTAATTCAAGAAATCATTTCTAAAAAATGGAAACAAGAAAAAAATATATACAACTGTTGTTAAAATATTTTTGTCATTGCAAGTTGGATTAATTTGCAATAAACGGTTACAAGAATGAAAATTAAAAAAAAACACCTAATGAATTTAATTAAATAAGTTAAAAAATTAAAGATTAAATTGTAATTTGTTACAGTGATTCGTGATTTACTTGGTGATTCAATTATAAAAAAGAAAAGATAGAAAAGAAAAAAAGACGTGAAGAGGAGATGTTGACTAACCTATAGTTTCATCAGACTATCATATTTCCATCCATCTATTTGGAGTTTGAAAGTGGTCCTGAGAAGATACAAGGAAAGATTAGATCTATATATCATATAGCAGTCATAAAGCGTGCCCTTTCCTGTATTGTAAGGTTTTTCTTGTATTCCCTATAGGAACTGTTGTCTGTGATGGCTGTAATAACAATATTGCTACTAGCTCCCAATAGTAGATTCCAAAGCTTCTTCTAGTAAGCATCATTCTGTATAGATACGTGACCGATGTAATTGTCAAGTGGAGAATGTATAAATATTACTTACTTTTTTTGTACATGTATACCACGTTTCTTATCAAAAAATACAAATATTTTCTTCAGAAGAAAGGATTGCTTCTTGTAATAGTTTTTCTGTAAAATAGATTTTTCCCCTTCTTCTCATCCCCCTTTTCCTTCTTCTCTATTGAAAATTAAAAAAAAAATTCGAATTTAAATATGTGATTCGTATTTAAAAGGAGTCATTTTTGTGTTTAATGTTAATAAATTCCTTTCACTTTTGCTTCATCGTTTAATGATTTTTACTTAAGATTGATGCTTGTTACAAAATTGTTTCTTATGATAAAAGTGCAGATCTCTAGAAATTCGCGTTTAAATTAAGAAAATTACAGATTTAACTGAAGTTAATACAGCGAGTAAGTAATATTAATGTTTGGAAGCTTAGGTATATTTGCTTTCCTGTGTCCAATCATTCTTCCTTTGCTCCTTCAACATCCATACCTGAAGCTAGACTATGAATTACATAGTCAAGCTCCGATGCTGAATAAGTTTGTAGAGATAAAGCAGTCATTAACGAAAAGCTGGTTCAGTTTTAAACAGCTTTCAAATATCAGCAGGTGCTAGGACATAAAATTCTCGCTAACTCGGCTATACTCGTCGTAAACTGTGAAGTGCTTTAC